CTCCAACCCCAAACCCCATTCTTACGTCATCCTAATTCCTCCTCTCCCATACCATCCGTCTTCCCCAGCCCCTAGGCTGTAAGCCTACATTCTATGCATATTATAATGGATGGGCTCGTAAAGGAGTGCGTATGTGCGCTCATGCAGACGCTGTTCAAACGTTTGTGCACGAGTATGAGTGCGTATACATGGTAGTGCGCTGATGTATGCAAAATTGCGTTTACGTATTACGTATGAAAGAGAATCAATATATACGTAGATATGTGTATATGTGCGCATATGCATATGCATTCATATGGGTGTATTTATATTAATGCATATGTATGTGCGAGTATGTGCATGTGTATGTACATATATGTTTCTGTGGAGGTGCGTATATATGTGCATAAGTATAAGTGTTTGTGTAGGTATATGGGTATATGTATATATGTACATATGTATGGGCAGTTATGTGTGTATGTACATATGTGTGTATGTATGTGGATATATGCATGTGTATATACGTGGATATATGTATGTGTATATGTATATATGTGTGTATATGTGTGCATATGCTTGTATATGTATATAAGTGTATACAAATACATATATGTGTGTATGTGTATATGTACGTATGTATGTGTGTGTGTATATGAAGTCCGCATATGTTTATATATGTGTATGCATGCGCATAGGTGTAGTGGTGCATAATGATATGCTCCCTTGCATATCACATGCATAGGAGCATTGTAAAGGCGTACGCTTTCATGTGATTGCGCACGAAAATGACCATATGCGTAGTACTTAGGGCAATTGCGGGTGAACAACTATGTCTACACTAAGCACACATACGCATAAATAAAATCAGTGTATAAAATACAACCACACTTCTGATACTCAAGCCCATGCTCACGGGAGTATACCATGGTGTAATAAGCAGGCCCGTGTGTTGCTGCTCATAAGTCCACACTAGACAGGCCCAACCTTGCTGGAGGGGCTTATCAGTGGCATCCCGGCTAAAATACTCCCCCTCCCACCAAGATACACCTAGGCCAGTAGGTGAGAGTTAACTTGGCTGTCTACTTCATAATCAAAACCCATGACTGCACAAACAGAGCAACGGCCCTCATTCCCCGGAAGCGAAGGAGCCCCTGGTTACGGCAGCGATCAGGATCGCTCCGGAGCAGAGGGTGCTAAGAATCTCCTGGCCAAGAACAGGCCGCCCCACGTTGATGAACCTTTGCACATATAATATAAGGACAATGAGAACGGAATCCGACTTACTAGCATTACTTGAGGAACTCTCCTTCATTAAATGGGATGTTGTAGGACTCTGTGAGGTTAGAAGACTAGGCGAAGAACAGAAGATACTAAATGATGGACACGTGCTCTATTGGAAAGGTAAACCTCAGGGTAGCAAGCAAGAATTAGGGGTAGGTAGAAAAGAACATCGTAGAATTCCATAGTATAAGCGAAAGAGTGGCTTCAGTAACAATAAAACTAAATAATAAGTACAACTTAAAGATTGTTCAAGTCCATGCTCCAACCTGCAGCCACAGTGATGACAAAATAGAAAGCTATGAAGATGTTTATTTAGCCAGCGAAAGAGTAAAAACCCATTTCACAATAATTATGGGAGACTTCAATGCCAAAATAGGTAAAAAGATAGGAGAAACCGTAGTGGGGAATCACGGAATAGGCACTAGGAATGAAAGGGGACAAATGCTAGTCGACTTTGCGGAGGCTCGATCACTCAATATCAAGAATACACTATTCGAAAAAAGACTAGAGCGGATGTGGACGTGGAAGTCACCATCGGACATCAAAAACGAAATTGACTTCATAATTTAAAATAGGCGCGATATAGTAAAATATGTGGAAGTTATTAAGAAAGTAAATGTTGGCAGCGACCATAGGTTGGTCAGAGGCCAAATTAAATTACACCTTAGAAGGGAAAGGAACAAACTCATACGAAAACCGCAAGCCAAACTTAGCTAAATTGAAGACCAAAGTGACAGAATTTAGCATTAACATCCAAAACAGATATTCACTTCTTAGTGACGAGGATCTCAACATTGATCAGATCAACAAACAGTTTAATGACATAATAAAGGAAACTGCACTTGAAGTAGGCGGTAAGAACGTCAAACAAAGCTCCAGTAAGCTCTCGATGGAAACTAAAGAACTTATGCAAAAACGTAGGGTCATGAAAGCATCGTCAAATAGTGACAAAATAGAATTAGCTGAACTAACAAAAACTATAAATAAAAAGAAGAGAGAAGATGTACGGAAATACAATACTTAAATAATAAATGAAACAGTGATCTCAGGTACCAGCATGAAAACAGCTAAAAAGAGACTTGGAATAGGGAGAAATCAAATATATGCAATAAAGAAACCAGACGGAGAGGTAACATATAATAAGAATGAAATCATAAGAGTAGTGGAAAACTTTTACAGGGATCTATACAACGCAAATGAACAGCCAAGGATTGAAGCGAACGCGGTATCTAGAGAAGTA